GATTATGTTGAAGTTGTTGTTTTGGATGAAATATAACTGTGTCAGCTGTTGAAATGGGAACTTGTGCTTCAACCTCACATTCTTGTCGTGGACCTAATATAATTGGATGAAGAAGTTTAATATCAAACGCAACATTTTCTGTATCTTCATCAAATGGTATGGATACTGGACCAGATCTAGTTCTAATTCTAATCTCCTGACTGCTTTCTAATACATCACCTTGGTATGGTCGTATCCAATCTTTACCCAAAATAAAATCGGTACTTAATGAATCCGCCACCAATGCCGTAACCCAGATGGTTATATATTTAATTCTAACCTTCAGTTGTACTGCGCCAATAAAATGCATATTAGTCTTATTGGCTAATTGATAATAACTTTTTCTTGTTTGTAAATAGCCAACTCGTGATGAATCTGCCATACTGGAATCGTATTTATCACATAAATTCATTATGTCACGATAAAATCTTGAAATTGGTTCATTCCATGCTTGTTTACGCGCGGCTAATTGGCGTAATATTTCTCGGTCATTGGATGGTAGTATTACCGGAAATCTGTGTGATAGTAATTGGTTAAACGTTTTCCAATCACATATTTTATCTTGATTCTTTTGATACCAATTTTGAGCATCACCTTCTAGTTTAAATTTTGCCACGACATATAACTCATCATCGCTACAATTCACCATCTTACCTATTTGTGTGATGTTATTTAACCATTTTGTAACGTTTTCATTGTCTTTTCCACTAAATATAGGTAACTGTTTTATCTTATGTTCCATCGATGTTTTAAGCAAATTATTTGATAAGTCGATTGTTGAGACAGATTTTGTATTTAATATTGTTGTTGAAGAGGGAATTGCTTGCTCCAGTTTAATTAAATCATTATGATGATTATCACATGTTGGGTATTTCTCGACTATCATTTGTCTAAATGAATCCCAGTCATAAACTTGGTTTTTATTCTTAATATACCAACTTAATGCTTCACCCTTTACATACCATGCAGCTAATTTACTCTATTTACCTTGTGCATGGTCAGTTAAATCTAGTGCAACCTCCAGTTGGTCGATCCATGCTACCACATCTTCTTGCTTTGTACCATGAAAGTTCTGAATTCTCTCTAATACATTTGGTATGTGTTGCTTACCAAAAATTGAGGTTATCATAACTTTATTATCTGATCGTATTGTATCCTCATCTAAGACCGATGTTATCCGAAATAAAGTGGTTGTGGATTTATCAATATATCCACGTTCATCCTCAATTGCAGTAGTCTCTTGTTTCGACTGTGTATTACAATCATTGTTGCTCATGTTTGATGTTAATTTGTTTGTTTTTGACCTTGTTCTATCTGCAATTACGTTCATAAACTTGAAACCCAATATAAATCAATAAATCCCAATTAATGAAATGTCCATGAAAAAAACCCTTAAGATTTGTTCATTTTCTCCCATTATCTCAAATATAGTGAGAAAAATTTTGCCTATCGGTGATATGCTAAAATTTAAAAAATACAGAGAAAATTAGAGGTAATTTGAAGTTTTAAGTGTTGTTTTGGCTTGTTTATTCAAAGGTATGGTATTAAGCACAATTCCACGAACGCTTTGTTCTACAGCAGCACCAACGAATATCGTCTATTGGTCGCTCAGTGGCGATACATTCAGTATGTTTAATAGTTTGTACAATGCCCAAACTGTAAATAATCCAGTTTATTCATCTGGCTACAGTTTTCCCATAGCTTTGTTATTGAGTAAAGCCGCTCAGCAATACGTAATTGCACCATCAATTGATGTTTTTTCATCAGACTTTACAGTTGAAGTATGGATTAATTTACAAACTGTTAATACAGCTGGTTATATGAGTATAATGGGTCAGTGTCTAAACCCAATGAACTGTATGTACATTGGTATTCTAAATAGTTCTGTGTTCATGTCGTGGGGTGGTGTTAAAAGTGTAACTGGAAATACAAGTTTGTCAACAAATCAATGGTATCATATTGCTTATGGTAGTCAGCAATTACTTTATTTAAATGGTAGACTCGATGGGCAAGGAACAACAACTGGTACTACTCTCAGTACTTCTGGTGGTAATATAACCATTGGTACAACACAAGATCAAAATCAAAATCAAACGTATTTTAACGGTAAAATCGGACAGGTCTTAATAAGTAGACGTTTAAAAACACCGGAGGAAATACTTGAAGATGCAACATTAGTTGCCCATTATTCATTTGGTTGCAATGGGGACTTGTATTATCAACAAGACAGTGGACCAAATTATATGGATGGCGCAGGCTCTGACGCTTTAGCGACAACTGCAAATAGCATCCAAAATAACAGTCTTCTGTTTAATTTGTCCACAGCCTATTTTCAAATATCAAATTTAGTTGCCTTTGGTCAGACAAATCAACCATTTTCAATCTTACTGTGGTTATACCCATTTGCTGTCACAGGTGGGACAATTATACACGCTTCCTCGTATTCAGCTGGAACAGGGTTTTGTGTACCGTATATGGGACTAAGTAGTACTGGAAATATCGTCGTTCAGTTATGGAATCGTAATGCCGTCAGTGTCATAGGACCGATTTTACCAAGTAATACTTGGACACACATTGCTCAAACGTTTTCTCCATCAAATGGACTTCGGTTGTATGTTAACGCTACGCTAACCGGGCATAACAGTATTTCATCATATACAACAAATAACAGTCCATTCTTCTTTACACTTGGTAATTCAAGAGCAGGCACAACTTGTGGAACTGGTGGTGTAGTTCAAATACGCCCGTATACCGGTCAAATGGATGAAGTCTACTTGTACACCGAAGTGTTAACAAGTGATAAAATTAAAGACTTAGCCGGAATCCCGCAGGGTGAGAAACGCTAATTATTGCTAATTACTCCGGCGAGTGTATCAAGATTTTCTCTCTTTCGCTTTCGTGATTGGGCATAATGTTCCTTTTGATCGTAAATTTAAGAATACAGTGAAAACCGATCTCAGGTTGAATAAGTCATTTTCCTACTATTTCATGCAAGTTGTGCAGAACCCAGGCAAAAAAACCCAAACGTCTGAAGATACGATGCACAGTTTCCTACGAAATTTGAATCACTTTTCCGATGCATTGTCATTGAAAACTCTGATATATATCAAAATGTTAAAAAAGTTGCTTTTAACATTTCAGCAACGTCCACCTCGTCGACAACCTCGGCAAAGAGTTTATCTTCAACACGGAGTAAGTTATTTTATGTTCGTGTGTGTTTTTTAACGAAGAAGCTTCGTGGAATACTTCTAGAAGACTCGGCAATTACAAATGACAACAATTATTTAGGTTCAATTATTTCAAAATCTCTATCATGTTGTTCGCCTCTCACACCTGTATTTAGGTTGTGAACGTAGCTTGTCGTACATAGTCAAATTGAGTTCTGCTTGAAGTAGGTTTTATTGACTCCAACCAGACGGCTCGTCGTCGTTTTGTCAGCTTCGTTCTTGAAAACATTTTCCAAGAAAAAACTGTCGAAGTTTTCATTCGTTGAACTGCATCTGGAAGCTCTCGCTCTCTCGGACAGCTAACTTTTAACTCCGTGTGCATTACGCGGTTGCCGACCAAATGTACCAGTTTTCCAGATATATGAGTTGAGTATTGCAAGTTGCACGACTGGTTGCCATCTAGATTACTAGTTGGAAAAGGGGCTATTAACTGCATGTACAGCGTCC